CGCGGTTACCCTGCGCGGTGCCGGCTCGGGAGGGCCAGGTCCGATCCCCGATCCCCCATCCCCGCAGCGAGGGAGCGCGAAGGTTGGCCTTCGGTCCTGCGGATGGGAAGTGGGGGACAGAACGCCCGGACAGTCTGGCTGTTGGGCGGTGCAGAGGGGGAGGAGGGAGCCGGGTTTGAAGAGTAGAATTAAAAAGGGGGGCAGGAAAGGAAAGGGAGGCCGAGCTGCGGCGCCGGGCTCGCTGGAGGGGAACATTTGCATGCGGCGCGCCGGGCACTGAGTCACCGCGCGGCCTCGGCCTCGCGCGCTTGGGGAGGTTTCTCCGGAGAATGCGGAGCAAGGTCAGCCGGGCAGCCCTTCAAGGACACGCGCGCGGCTCCTGCATGCTGATGGCCCCCGGCGCCCCATCCTGCGAGGAGGCAATCCGGGGGCTCTCGCCTCCTCTCCCTCCCAACTGCAGCTCCTGGCTGTTCATCAAAGACCTTGTTGTCACCGAGACACTGGGACCTTGTCTCTCGCTGGAACCACTCGTAAATCTTAGGTCAGGCAGCTGGCCGCCTTCGAGTACCACAGTCCCCAAAGCCTTAGTCAGTCACTAAGTAGAAAGGTTTGTACTTCAAGCGTGCACACCAGGGAAAATAAACACAAATGCAATGTCAAGACGTGCCCCTTCAGAAATCCTAACCCCTGAATGCGCTCCCCTTTCCTCCTCCCCATCCCATCCCACGCAAGCGACAGCCTGTCATCCCGACACCCAGCCTCCCCGCGCCTAGGGGTCAGGTGCCCGCGGGGCGTCACCACTGAGCCCTGGCTGGAAGATTCTAAGGGCGCCCCTTCCGAGGGTCTCCAGCCTCGGGGAGAGGGAGGGTGTTGTAGAGTCAGGTCAGGGATTCAACTCTGATAGCACCAAGAAAGAGAACTTTGGTGGAGAAGTGCCCAGACTCCAATGCTCTGGCGTTGGCATTTAATAGTTTCCTCTTTTTAAAAAAACATATGTATTTTTATGTTTCAGAGAGGGAGGGCGAGGGAGAGAGAGAGATGGAAATATCAATGATGAAAGAGAATCATTGATTGGCTGCCTCCTGCACCACCCCTCCCCCTCCCCCACTGGGGATTGAGCCAGCAACCCAGGCTTGTGCCCTCCTGGTTCACAGGTCGATGCTCAACCACTGAGCCACCTCAGTTGGCCCTTACCAGGTTTTTTATGAACACTTTCAGAGATAATATATGAACAAGAAAGTTCAAATAGTTGTGACTAAAGGGGTGAGCTCTGGGGCCAGACAGAGTTTGAACCTTGGCCACTAATTTCGTGACCTTAACTGCACTGTGCCACAGCTTTCTCATCTGTGAAATGGGTATATTAATAGTATATCTCTCAAAAAATAGTATATCTCAGAGTTGCTGAGAAGAACTAATGAGATAATTCATATAAAACACGAGTTCATGAATCATCATCTCTCCAGGCAAGGTACCCTTGTTTCTTTATTTTCCTCCTCATTCTCCAACCTCATCAGATATCCACTCTGATAGTTGTCTTTAGATGCATACTTCCTTGGGAGGGGGGCGGAATCTATTTGAAAGTAATAAATCCAGATTATTCTGAAAATGTACAGCTTGCTGTGTTTTCATAAGCTGAACACACCCATGTAACCAGGACAAAGACCAAGAAACAAAAGCATTATCAGCCCCCTCCCCCCAACTCTCTCCTTTCTTTTTCTAGTTACCATGGACTCGATGGTAACCACTATTTGACTTCTAGCTCCAAAGATCAGTGCTTCCTGTTCCTGTATTTTATCCAAATGGCATCATACATTACATATACGTTCATATCTGACTTTTGCTCACCACCAATTGTGAGATTCATGCGCATGCTGTGTGTGACATGTTGTGAGTTTTCTAGGATGGCCCCCAAGATTCCATCAGCCTCTCTTGTACACACACCTTCTCAAACAGTCGTCAATCGGGCATCCATCTAGGTGCTGCTGTAGCGTCCCTTTGCAGATGTAATTAAGGCCCCGTGTTTGAGGAGATCGTTCTCGATGGACCTGATCACATGAGCCCTGGGCTTTTTTTGAAGAAAGAGATTGGAAGTACGAGGGGATGGACACGAGGGAAGTTCTACATTGTTGGCTTCAAAGACAGAGGGGTCCACACGCAAGAGATGCCGCTGGCCTCCAGGAGCCTAGATGGGCCCCTGGCCCACAGCCAGCAGGTAATGAGAGCCAGTCCTCCAATCACAAAAGACCCTGAATTCTGCCAACAACCTGAAGGAGCTTGGAAGAGGATTGTGAGTGAAAAAGGGCCACATACTAACCCTGGCAAGCTCAGGGGAGGCCTGCGTGGGGGCCTTACGGACTCAGAGACCCAAAGGAACCAGATAGGATGGTCTGAACATAAAGATTCCTAACGAAAAGTGAGCCACGGCAGCAGTCACATCCTAGGCCTGGTACTTCCTTGACAAAAATCAATCTTTATTTTTTAAGCGACCCTGTCTATTGTCTAAGAATGTCCGAGTAATTTCCTTTTCCAGACCGCTCAGGGTACACCCACCACACCAGAGAGGCCACAGGACCCCTCGTTGTTATCTTGCTCCCCCAAATACCATCTCTATGTGCTGTAAATATTGTTGACTATCCTATACCCACCAATGTAAGAGAAGTATTTATCTCTTCGTTTTACTCTACCACCAATGGATTTCATGTAACCCCCCTTACATCTCCTTCTTTGATTCTAATATATAAAATAAGCTGTAAAACGGCCATTCTCTGGAGCATTTTGCTTCCCAGCAATTGACTCAAATAAACTCGTAAAAAATTCTCTACAGGTTTGGACCTTTCATACTTCGATAGGATCCTGAGATCCAGCCACCCACACCTTAACTTCAGCTCGTGAGGCGCTCAGCAGAGAACCTAGCTACATCGTGCCCAGATTTAAGGCCTACACACCTGTGAGCTGGTAAATGTGTTTTATTTTCAGCCCGACTTTTGTCGTTTGTAGTCTGTGGTCATTTGTTTCATAGGGATAGAACACTAGCCTATGTGTTACAGTTTAGATAGTTTATAGATACCGTTAGAGTATGTTCCATCTTATTGCTGTAGAGTATGCCACTGTTGGACTGCACATAACTTATTCACCCATTCTTCTGTAAATGGACATGTGGGTAGTTCCTGCCATGAACTTCTAGTGCATGTCTTTTGCTGGGTATTGGTATTTAAAAATGAAATTTTGGGGTCATAGAATGTGCATATGTTCAGCTTTAGTGACTACTACCGAACAGTTTTCCAAAATATAAGTTATTTTTCCAGACTTGCCGTGACCTAATAGGAACTGGTCCCCACCCTCACCAACACTACTATCATTATCTGGCTAGTCTAATCGAAAAAAGCCCACTGAGCCAAGAGCCAAAATAGTCCAGGGAAAGTAACAGCTTTGAACCCTGGCACTGACTTCTCTATGGCCAGGTCACCCGCCTGAGTTAGCGGTGAAGAAGACTGATGCTGACATTCGCGCGGTTAGAACCTCGCGGCAGTCTGCTGTGTGGGATGGATTTGGATCACTTGCTTCTCTGCAAACAATCAGCATTGTCCAGCGCACCTCTGCTGACGCTGCCCTTCTAATCCTGAGGGTGTTTTAAATCTGACTGTCTTCACAGCCAGTCAAAGAAGCATCTTACTTAACATGCACACAAACACAAGCATCTGGGTGGGTCAGACCCCAAGATCTTGAAACACAGAGGTCTGCAGTCCCCGTTGTTGCTATTAATATGGATCTGGTTCCATCTGAAGCCGAAAGCACATTCTGATTGTAGAACTGCAGCAAACACTCAGCAAGCCTTGCAAACAAAGGAGTAAACACATGCATAAGCTATCGCAACGCCAGAGTCAGCGAACACCATTTTTACATCCTAATTGCCAGGAATGGGGACAGCTGCGTCATTGTTTCAAACACAAGCTCACGCACAATTAAGCCAAGAACACATGTCAACACTGGCACAAGCTGCTAAATTGCTGATAACTGATGGGCATTGCTCATGCTGTGCGCACTGTCTCCGATATAAAATGGAAAGACTCCTTTTTACCCAAGACCTCAGAGGTTTCTGCCGGTTTAGGAAAGCCAGGTTTTGTGTCAGATGGCCAGATTATGTAAGTGACATTCCACCCACGTACTCAAGGAGTTTGTGATAAGTACATCATGCTGTTTCGTGCCTCCTTATATTGGTGTTAACAAGGCAAGCTTCAAGAGGCTGACTTCTGGGGTGGGGATGCTTTGCCTGTGATGAGGGGGGTTTGCAGCCACTAAACAGAAATGCCCCTTGACAACCAGAGAGCCAGGGTTTGCCATGGCCTGGTCAACTGCAGACACTGGACTCTACTTCATCAGCCTTGTGTTCAATAAGTTACTATTACCGAATAGAACTGTAATTTAAACCCCTTGTTCAGTTGCCTTACGAAGTACCAACTGCATTCCAAATAACATTAAATAATCTTGAACATAATCTTGAACAATTGAAATAATCTTGAACAATTCAGGGTGATGACCTGAATTGCGATGGGTAAGGACAGCCAGCCGGGTGAAGGAGTGGGGTGAGGTGTGCTGGGCAGAGGGGGACATGTGGGCAATGGTTGTCCGTGGAAGACGTAGCATAGTCGGCTCAGCGTGGCTAGAGAGAGGCGGCTGGGTGGGTGGGCAGGAGCCGGAGCATGGGGAGTTGGGATTTTATCCAGGGATCCATTCCTTGCAAGATGTTAAGTCGGGAAATGATATGATCAGATCTGCACTTTAGATAAATCCGTCTGCAGGCTGGTGGGGAAGAGTTTGAGGGAGAAATGACGGAAAAGGCATGCATGGGACAGCTTATCTTTCTTTCCCCTGAGAGATCTGACCCTCCCTGCTGCCACAGCCTCCCACCCCACTGGGGGCTCATTGCTGCACCAACCTGAGAGTGAACTCTCTGCCTCCTTCCAGGGGAGAGGCAAGGAGGACAGGCCGAGGGTCACTGCCCTACGAAACCTGGCGCCGTAGTAAGTGCTTCAGCACCCAACCCGTTTGATATTCATGGAAACCCCGTGAAGCATGGTCACCCAGGGCCGGTCCACTGAGCACCGGTGGCCTCGGAGCTTGTCTCTGGCTCACTTTTTTTTTTTCTGCGAGTGGGTACCTGCGAAGAGAAAGGGGATGAGTGTCCCGCTATGATCTGGGGTTCCCCCTGCTCCACAGGTTCCTGGTGCAAAAACACTCTTTTCTCCCTCCCTTTGAAACCCTGCTGCTGGGAAAGGTTCCGCGATAGCTTGCATGTGTATTCTGGTGCTCCATTTGAAGAGCAATTTATCTGAAGCATCTACCCTCTGTGCCCGCACGAAAGGTCGCAACCATTAGAACTGCGCCCCGAGCACCATAAGGAAACCCACAGGCGACCATCCCCTTAACCTCACCCTCACCCATCTTCAGTGCGATCTAATGGGGAACACATACCTGATGCTAAAATAGACATTAGTGGAAACAGGATTAAAGAAAATGTCTTGTCATCCAACAATGTCAATACTTATACACAAAAAATAAGAGGATTGGTGTGTTCTGCCTGCACACCCACAGTGTGGTCACCAAGATGCCAGCCTAGCTTGCTATGTTGTGGGTTTGCCCAAATTGTCATGACTGACAGGTCTGGTAGACAGTGCTGTACCCCAGAGATCAGCAAGCTTTTTCTGAAAGGGCCAGATAGTAAATTCTGCCAGCTTTGGGGGCATACGGTGTCTGTTGCACAGGACTCTGATGTTGCCGTGAAAGTGCACATCATACAGAAATGAATGGGCGTGAGCAGAATTGGCCCACACCATATGATACACAGAGCCCCGTGCAAAAAGTCCTACCCACTGACCCAAACAGTCCCAGGAAAAGTCATTCCCACGTTCAGGCATTATGTCTGCAAAGGCCTAGTAAACCATAACATGTTAGTCCATTCTCCACTGTCAGGGTGTTAGCACAGGTTCCTTTATCTTTGAGGTGCAGCCCGGAGATCACGGGATGGCGTTTCCCTGCATGAAGTGCCCTCCATGTTTGGCCAGCTGTCTCATCATACATGCCCCTGCCACCAGGGACTACTGAGCTTAAGTATGGGTTGTGTTCCTTGTGTCCAGAATTCTTGTGTCCTGAAGATCAGTGTGTCAATTAAAATCTTTTGACTAAAGTAACAGGAGCTGTAGAGAAATTTATTTTTCCACATATCAGAAAAGCTAGAGGAAGGGTGGGTCCCACAACTGGCTAATCAGTATTTCTAGAACCCTGGTTCTTTCCATTCTCTGCTCTGCCATCTAAAGTATAGGCTTCTGCCCTGGCCGGGTGGCTCAGTTGGTGAGAGCATCGTCCCATATACTGAAAGGTTGTGGGTTCAATTCCCAGTCAGGGCACGTGCCTGGGTTGCAGGCTCGATCCCCAGTAGGGGGCATGCAGGAGACAGCTGATCAATGATTCTCTCTCATCATTGATGCTTCGATCTCCCTCTCTCTTCCTTTCTGAAATCAATAAAAATAAATAAATAAATAAATAAATAAATAAATAAATAAAGAGCAGCACTTCTTCCCACGCATTTACCCTTTCCTCCTTTTAAGGGAGCACGGATGCTGTGATGGAGTAGTGCTGATGACAGAGAAATGAGGGAGTGAGGAGATGTGCCCTTCACTGTCCTCCCACCAAACTATCTCATCTCCTTAATACACGCCTGCAGCTGACCTTCAGGAAGTCTGAAGTTTACCTGTCTGAAGGATGCCTGTGAGCCTAAAGCTAACCAAGGAACTATGAAACACTAGAAAGAACACAGCCCTAAAAGTCAGAAATCTAATTCTAGGTCTGGCTCTGCCACTAACGGGCCTTCTGAACTCAGGCCTGATTAACCTATTGGCAACCTTAGACGTTAGCCTATAAAATAAAGAGGGATGTGGTTTTTAATTGTTCCCAGCATAGAAGACTTGGGTCCAAAGCAAAAGGGAGCCCTGTGTCCTCTGTCCTCCCCTCATGCCCCTTCTTGGCCTAAATGGCAGCCCGTAGGCACCATCTCAGAATGTGAGGGCTGGAAAACCACTGGGCTAAATGAGCCCCCGAGGTCCCATTCATCTTTAAAATTCTCTAACTCAGCCTCTGCTTCTAAGATAATGACTTCATGCTAATATGCTGTACTCCTTCCTCGACTCATTTGTGTTTGAGAAGAAATTCTCATGGCTACATGGAATTTCAGGCACCACATATGTGAAGAGGTGGTTGGCAACTCCCTGGACCCCATAAAATCATTCCACTTGAGTTACCACTCAGCTTTCACGTAGGGACTTAATGTCAGGAGGTGGGGGTGAGTGTGACCTCTTGGCTTTTCAACTTGCAGCCTGTCAAAGGGTGGGTTCCCATCTGATCCTTGGTTAACCATGGGGCCCAAGGAGGACAAGCAAAGGCCACCGTGTCTTTCATGGGGGGAGTATGGATTAAAATCAGGTTCAGCTCTGAGAAACAGAAATCCCCCAAATGACAAGGTGTAATAGATACACATTTTCTTCTCGGTCATGTAACAGACATTCGAAGGCAGTGGTCGGCAAACTCATTAGTCAACAGAGCCAAATATCAACAGTACAACGATTGAAATTTCTTTTGAGAGCCAAATATTTTAAACTTAAACTATATAGGTAGGTACATTGTTATTAACTTAATTAGGGTACTCCTAAGGCTTAGGAAGAGCCACACTGAAGGGGCCAAAGAGCCGAATGTGGCTCGCGAGCCGCAGTTTGCCGACCACGGTTCTAAAGGAAGCAATCCAAGGTTAGGGAGTGGCTCCATTTGAAAAAGTCTTTGGAAATCTGGGCTCCTCCTAGCTCGTTACTCCACTATCCCAAGGATGTCGCTCTTGTCCTTGTGTTACACAGTAGAAACCAGAGCTCCAGCCATCACATCTAAAGTCCAGTTAACAAGATGGAGGAAGAGATAAAGACAGGTTGCTCTTTCTCCCTTTAAGAACATTCCCTGAAGCCTCACCTAACACTTCTGCTCACATCTCGTTGGCTAATCTAAGTCCTGTAGACAATCTAGATGCAAGGGAAGCTGAAGAAAACAGCCTTCTAGCTGGGCAGGAGCAGGAGGGCCTGTGACCCACGGTGGTTCCCCGGTCAGGAGCTAGTCAACCACAGGAAGGTCAGCAATTCCCAGAATTTCCTTTCTGGGATCTGCACGGGGACCCTGACTCTTGGGAATTCTACCCGCATATCTTCAGATTCTTAAAGGTAACTTTTAATGTCATTTGAATAGATGCAGATGACAGCTGCATATGTAATAGTATGAGTATGAACTTTAAAAATACATTTGGACTCCATAACTGTATGATACAAAGTTCCTTTTTTAAAAACCTTTTTTGAAAGTGTAACATATGTACAGAAAAGTGCACAAATCTCGGCGTGCAGCTCCACGAATTATCACAACGTGAAGACACCCATGTAACTACCGCGAAGGAAAAAGGAAGAGCCTGCCTGGCGCTCCTCCCAAGCTAATGTGCCACTGAGGTCCTTTCCTTGTGTCCCCTCTCCCTCCCAACTCTGCCCTCGCCCCATCTTCTCTTCTGTGCACCTCCCTTCCCAAACCTCCCAGATACCCTGGGGGAGGTGGCAATTCTTTGAGGCTGTTTGACCTTCTGGCGCAGAGAAAATAGCATGACCTTTGGAGCTAGACTCACCAAGATCCAGATCTCAGCTCCTCGGCTCACTCGCTCTGTGAATCTGGGCAAGCGATGTAGCTTCTCTAACACCGACCCCAAGCGCTGTCCTGAAGGTCAGATCTGCTGGTTCTTGTCCTTCCCACAAGAACCTGCGGCATGCTGGGCCCTGTGAGGAAACATTCTTTCCATTTCACAGATCCACACCATGATGCCCCCGAGATGAAAGGCCTGGTCCAGCGTCACCCTGCATGTCATCAGCAGAGTGCAGGGCGAGAGGCTGGACCAGCGCGGGACCTGGAGCTGCCCCCTCCCGACCCAGAGGTGCTGAGACCCGAAGAGAGCTTGGACCTGCCCATGGCCTGTGACCATCCAGACGTTTGTAGGCCCAGTGGTGCCTGGTTCTTTAATAGACTCATTGGCATCCTAATACTTGCCTCAGCCTCACCAGAAGTTTTCCTAAACAGACACACAGATGCCAGCCTTATGACACTTGCTAATAAAAACTCCCTTAGCAGGATTGGGTTCCATGGTGTCTAATAATAACTGCAGACCCAAAGCAGTAAATAGCTGGCCATGCAACGAGAGGGTGGGACCCCCCAGGCGCAGACAGAACGTGAACAGTCAGAGCCAAGCGGCGTCGGCAGCCGGGGCAGGGCCTGGGCCCGGAGCTGGCAAACAGGGCTCCTGGCAGGACGAGGAGGGCAGTGAACCTGCTAGCAAGGCCGGGGCAGCTCGTGCCATCATCCAACAAACACTGTTAGACAATGGCCCGGGTACAGGTGCCGGGTGACACATGGGCGGAGGAAAACACTGCCCCTGCCAGAGATGTTCAGGCATTTCATTAGAAGGGCGGGTCTTTTCTTATATTAGAAACAGAATGCTGAGGAGAGAGGCCCGGGGATGTGCCCAGCGTGGTGACCGGAAGACAAGGGTGGAGCCCTCCCTGGGAGACAGTGTGACCAAGCCTGTGGCTTCCCCTTGTCCGTCTGGAATCCCCTCCTCACCTCGCTCCGCTCTGTCTCAGGCCCTTACCTTGTCCACGAAGCCCTGAAACAGCAACAGTCCCGAGGGCTCACCATTTCATCTTCACAGTCTTTCAAGCCAGGAACTACCACTGTGGCCATATGCACGCGGACACTGAGGCACAAAAGGGTGGGAAACTTGTCTGAGGTGACACCGCGTGAGAGGTGGAGATGGGATGTGAACCCAGGGCGTCTGCATCGGCCCCAATCTAACCCACGCTGCGGGGTGCTGGCTCCCTACACTCACGTGCTGTCTTCCAAGCCTCTGAACCCCAGGGACCAGGGGCAGGGCTGGTGCACCCCTGCGTGTCCAGATCTCAGCTCCTCCACACCCTGTCAAGGGTCCCGTCACCACTGCCCCACCCTCTCCCCGCCCTGGTCTGTAAACTCAATGTCTGGTATGCGGCACTGCCTTCCCCCTCACCTCATCTCGGGCCACCATGCTGGGGGGTTTGAACGTCCATCCAGAGGATGCAGCCAGCAGCCACCGCACAGGCCTTCGCTGCTCTCGCTTGCCCGCTGGTGGTCCCCAGCTCCGTGCCCCGCAGGAGAGTGGGCGTGGCTAAGAGCTTGGGCCCTGGAGTCACGGGCCTCGGTTCTAATGCCAGCCCAGCCAGTGACCAGACTTGTCCCTGCAGTGAAGTTTCTGGACCTCTCTGAGCCTCGGTTTCTTTATGAAACAGGCGAATACGAGAAACCCCCTGCCAGCGTTACATGAGGTGTGAGGCTAGGCGCGCCAGTTACTGAAAAGGGCACGGGCTGCATCGGAGGCATGCAGGAAATGTTAGCACCTACGTGGCCACAGCTTGTCAAGCAAACTCTGAAACCGCAAAATCAGAGATTTCACTTTCCCACCACAACGTTCTGTTTTCCACCTGTAAAGACCTCCTGCCCCCGCCAGGCCACTCTGCTGTGTTTGCCCACGGACTGGAGCCCCCATTCTCAGGTGCCGGCCACCTCCTGGCTTCTCCTCCCTCCCTGTTTTGTTAAGACCTCCTGGCCAATCACTGTACTGACATCCTGATAATTACCCACACTTTCCCTGCACGTGGTCTGTTTCTGTTGGGATTAGGTCCAGTGGCGTATAATACAAAACCCAAAATAACAGTCACTAAAATCATAGGTCTATTTCTCTCACACATAAAAACAAAACAAAACAAAAAAAAACCAAAAAACAAAAAAAACACAAAAAACCCTCCAGAGTTAGCCCACCCAGAGGTGGGATGGTGACAGTTGGGGCCTCAGGGATTTGTCTCCTCTGCTCTTGCTGCTCACTCATTTCAGCACATTGTCTCAGAGCCCAAGAGAACCGTCCGAGCACAGCCATGGTGCCCGCTTTCCAGACAGCACGATGGAGAAAGGGAGAGAGGAAAGGACAAAAAATGCAGAGCCCCAGCAGTCTATCCTACTGTTCTACACCTTTTCCTATCAGCCAGACCTAATCACAGAGCCACGCCAGTCCCTGCTTCCTTCCTGTCCCAAATGAAAGGGAGAAGTGGGGAGATGGTCCCACGGCTGTACCTGCCTGGCCAACGGACAGCCACTGAGGACTCGCCATGGCTTCTACATCCAGGCTGTCCCCTCTGCCGGAGAAACCACCACCACGTGCTGACAGGCAGCCCTGCAGACACTTGGCTTCCAGCCACGGAGCCCCCCTCCACTTCCTCTCTCCTGCATGCCTTGTGGCCATGACTCCACGTGCTCAGTCACTTTCCTGAAACACCCCTCCCACCCTTGTTCCCGGCAGAAGGTCCTGCCTCCGTCCCCCTCTCATCTGTCCTTCGGCTCCCCTCTCATTCCTCCAGAGCTGCACCAGCTCCAACCAGGGTGGCTGACGCCCTGGCAAGAGCAGGCCAGCTCTTCCGATTCCCACAATAAATCTTAGCGCCGAGCTGAGCGCCCATCAACAGAAATAAACGGATGCGCGCCAAGGCGCTAATAGCTCACAGCTTCATCTGTATACACTCCCTCGCCATGGTTTGTTTTCCACCAGAGCCTTCGACGATGTTTCCCTGCAAAGGAGGCACCTCCGGGGAAGTGGAGGCCCGAGCAGCCGGGCTGGGGCTGTGTCAGGGACAGTGGGCCCCCGCAGCCCTCCAGGCCTTCCTCACAGCAGCTGATGGGCCTCAGAACGAACAGCAGCTCCCGGAAAAGGACACAATCATTTGGCTCTGTCACTCCACCTCTCAGCCACTTGTCCCAGTCCCCACTGGCACAGGGCCACTGGGCACACCATCTGCCTCCAAAAAGAGGAAAAATGACTGGAGGGAGGATGCCAGCATTTCTCCACGTTCAGGGGATGGTGTCCATATTCTTATGAAAATGAACGCTTGGCCTTCATGGACGCTCATGAAGAACAGTCTGGGCGTGGGTGTCCCTGGGTTTAGGGAGGACCGAGGTAGGCACCCCATTCCTCAATGCATGGAGAGGCAGCTGGGAAGGGCTGGCATTCGTTCAAAGCCCATCCTGTCTCTGCACAGAGCTGGGTGGTCTGGTCTCAGGGCCCCCAGCACCCACCCTCCTGTGCTCCCATCGGGGCTCCCGAGGGTGTGGGCCCGGAATCACTCAGAGCGAAGGGGTTCCTACCTTGTGTGAAAAGTCTGACTTAGAGTTGCTATAAAAAGGAGCAGAAACAACAGCTGTGCCTCGTCGTCAGTGTTCGAGTTCCCTGCTTCCTGTCACACTCATCTTGCAAGTTCTACTCATTTTCACATTTTCCCCGGTCACTTCCTCCCTCCAACGTGAATTACTTAAAATAAGGATGCCACTCCAGAATGAAGACAGCACCCCGAGAAGCCTCGGGTGACTGCTCCCCCCATCGCCATCCCCACAGACTCTGCAGCCAGAGATGGCGCTGAGTGCGGAGCCTGGGGACCGCCTCCCACCGTAGAGGCTGGGATGACCATGGGAACTTCGCTAAGCACCAGTTGGTTAGCAGAGCAAGAGGCCTGGGAACAGCACCAGGCCAGAGGTAGGACCTGGGTTCTGGTCCAATATATGCTGTCAGAGTGCTCGCCTCCTCTGGGTCTGAGTCCTCGTCTGTAAAACAAGGGTGTATGAGAGCCCTTCCTGTGTGGGGTCCAGGCCTGGAGCCTCAACGCTCAGTCCTGCCTCCCAAATCTCCCTCCTCTCCATCCCTCGCCAGTTAGGCTTGTCAGTGGCTTCATTAGCTGCCTATTTATGCCAGGCTGGTCGAATGTAGTAGACTCAGACTGTTCCCCCAGCCTCCCATCAGCCCCTACAGTCCGTTCTGCACCCCGCCACCGGCCTTCTCAACGCTGGTCTCAACGCTGTCAGTCACTCTTCACTGCATTCAACTCCTCAGCAAGGATTATCACCGTCTCACTCCACCTCTTTCCATGGCTCTCAACTTCACTCACAAATATTTACTGAGCACCTGCTATGTGCCAAGGAGCTCAGAATACAGAAATAAGCCTTCAAGACTCGGTTTAACTGTGCCCCCCCCCCCACACACACACTCCCCCAAGAAGCTTTCCCTCCCTCCACCCCCTCATGCTCACCTGCGGGGTGAGCTCATCACCTACTCCTACATGTGCAAGCTGCTATACCTGACCAGATTGTGACAATGCTGAGACCAGCAACCTTCCTCTCCTTTATGGCTATACCAGGGAAGTTATGTTCCGTTAATGTCTGCTCAGTGTGATGGTTAACTTTGTGTCGATTTGGCTAAGCCACAGTACCCAGGTATTTGGTCAAACACTATTCTAGGTGTTTCCATGAAGGGATTTTTAAAGACGAGATTCACATTTAAGTCAGTAGGCTCTGAATAACGCAGACTACTCTTCATACTGAGGGTCAGCCTCACCCAATCAGGTGAAGGAGCTAGTGCAGCCGTGGGCAAACTACGGCCCAGTCCGCGGGCCGGATCCGGCCCGTTTGAAATGAATAAAACTAAAAAAAAAAAAAGACCGTACCCTTTTATGTAATGATGTTTACTTTGAATTTATATTAGTTCACACAAACACTCCATCCATGCTTTTGTTCCGGCCCTCCGGTCCAGTTTAAGAACCCATTGTGGCCCTCGAGTCAAAAAGTTTGCCCACCCCTGAGCTAAGGTAATGTTAATTGCGGTGGCTGAGAACTGCTGCCTTTTCTAGCAGATTGTGAGGCAGCAGCATGGTAAGTACATGAGTCAGTGATTTTCAGACTCTCCTTCAAAACCATAGGTCTCCAGTGCCCACCACCTTTCACCGGGCCGCCCCTCTTCGTCTACGTACAAGGTTTCATTTGAAAGGGAAAGTTTCACCAAAGATGAAGAAAAGAGAATAGGGTCAGGGGCAAGGGCAGAGAGGATTTGCAAACCATGGGCATGAAAAATTAAGTCCAGGCTAGATAAACGTGTGACTCTGATTAAAGCTTCTTCTCCAACTCTGAAAAGGCAGCACAATCCGAGGGAAACAGCTTGACTGGATATTATAAAGCCTCAATCAT